GGAGGTGGGCAAGGAATAATCAGAGATAGGAGGAAGGAAGCTGAGGAGAGCACTGCCGCAGATGCCAGGGCAATAGAATTCCAATAAAATGCAGGGTGGGATGGGTGGAGAAGTTAGATAATGGTTAAAGTTACTTCCAGAAATAACAGTCAGAATATATAAGCTCTGGGAGAGAATTTTGGTCTCTGGGCTTGCCCATCCAGAACTTCTCAGCAGCAATAAAATGACTTAAATTTCATCTTTCGAAAGAAAACTTGCCTGTACTCTGCCAGTTTTGTCTGGGCAGGAAACAGAGCTCATACCAGCTGCTAAGGATGGTTTGAAATTCCACTTCAGAGCATTGGAATGTGACACCTCCCAAGTGGCAGCCTCTGCCCAGGGAGGGAGCAAAGCTGCCTGGAGTGGAGCGTGATGGGTGCAGCAGGGGGTACAGAGCCTTCCAGCCTCCCTTGGAGGAGCTGACACTCCTCTGCCTGCTCACAGGTTCTCCCATCTGAGCAGGAAAAGTCAGCATGTCCTTGGTCCCTTAATCTCTGTCTGCACATCCCCCTCTCACCCAGATGGTCTCTTGGGTATTTAGAACAAGCAAGTTGCTATGAGATCACAAGATCATGGACCAGAACTGCCCGTAGGGGAAGGGCCTCTTTGCCTTGAGGGCTTTTCAACAGTGCCTCAAAGGCAATCTCACTCAATACCAGAGAAATAGGGACAGGGCCATGAACGGAGAGAGGAGAGGGAGAGGGGCCACTGGGTAGCCTCACGTCGTAGCAAAGTCTCCTCGTCGCGTCCTGGAGTGCCCTGTGGCATCATCATTTACCAACTGAAACCAGGGAAACAACCTTGCCAGCTTTTAAATCTTATCCATTTATGGTTTATCACAGGATATTGGCTATAGTTCCCTGTGCTATACAGTAGTACCTTATTGTTTATCCATTCTCTATATAACAGTTTGCATCTGCTAATCCTAAACTACCAATCCATCCCTCCCTCCACCTTGGCAACCACAAGTCTGTTCTCTGTGAGTCTGTTTCTGTTTCGTAGATAGGTTCATTTATGCCATATTTTAGATTCCACATATAAGTGATATCATATAGTATTTGTCTTTCTCCTTCTGACTTACTTCGTTTAGTATGATAATGTCTAGGTCCATCCATGTTGCTGCAAATGTCATTATTTCATTCTTTATTATGGCTGAGTAGTATTCCATTGTATATATGTATCATATCTTCTTTATCCATTCATCTGTCAGTGGACATTTAGGTTGCTTCCATGTCTTACCAAATGGCCCAGCTTTAAATTCTGGTTTCTCCCTGTGACCTTGGGCAAGCTGCTTCTTCTGTCCTTGCCTCAGTATTTTTCTGTAAGATAGGAAAAAAACAATATTATTGAATTCATAAGGTTGTTAATATTAAGTGAACTAACACATGGAAAGCATGTTAGTACCTATTTAGAAAGGACAGTCCCTGGCACATAGTAAGTGTTCAATAAATATGAGCTATACTGATAACAAGTATTATCATCATCACTATCATTATTACTATTGCACCAGAATGTAAGCTTTAAGACTCAAGAGACTGTTTGCTTTTTTCACTGTCTGGCACATAAAAGGTGCTGCATGAAACTCACAGATATAGAGAGCAAACTAGTGGTTACCAGTGGCGGGCAGGAGGTTGGGGG